TTTGATATTAGATTTTAGAACATCTTTAATAAGTATAGCTTTCGACCTTTAAGGCCGACCTTAATAGTCGACCTTTACTGTCGATCTTAACGGCCTATACCGCTATATAACTTACCTATCTATATTATATTGTATCTTTTAAATTAAAATTACTATAATCAATTAGGTATATATATATATAGGGCATATTATATATATTGTATAATTAAACTATATAGTATATTATATAATTTCTCTTAAAAGCTAATCCTATTAAGGTTAATGCTTTATACCTATAAATCTAAAATAAAAAAGTGCTATATAGCCTATTTGAGTTAAAGTCTTATTAAAATGAAATAAAAATAGGCTAAAAAATAATAAAACCTTTTGATTATTACTAAAAGCCTAGATTATTGAATTAGATGTTTTTAGAAGACTATAAAATATTCATACTTTTTATAGATCATTAAATATTTAAAGGAGCTATTAATAAATTAATAAAGAATTTAAAAAGATACCTTTATTTTGAATATATAAATTATCAATATTTAATTTTAATATTTAATATTAGCCTAGATTTATAAACCTCATAAATAAGCTATTTGAGAGGCTAGATTATACAAAAGGGAAAATAAGCTATAAGGACGTACGTGCTCTTTATATTAATAAATAAACTTAACTTAATTAATAAACTACTAATAAAAATACAATAAAATATAATAGTTTAAAAAAGAATAACGGAAACTTTAAAAGTATATATAGCTATAACAAAGATAACTATGAACGACGCCCTTGTTATAAATATCTTTATAATAATAATATAAAATTAAAAAAATAAAACTAATAATTTAAAATAAATAACCAACGATTTAAAAAGAACATATCTTAAAAGAATTATAAAAAAATATATATCTTAAAAGAATTATTAAAAGAATACTTGAAAGAATACGGTATTTTAATAAAGGCTTTTAAATATATTTAAGTCATTTATTAAAAAGCTCTAAAATCTTAATAAAGAATATTAAATTTAATTAAAAATATTAAGGAGTCGCTATTAAGTAGAGCGGGTACTATTAAAATGATAATAAAGGTACCTTTTTTTATAAAAAGTAATTAATAATCTTTAAAAACATCTTTTTAGAAAAAGAAATCTTTATTAATATTATAATAATTTAAAATTAGTCTATGTAAAAATAAATAAAACGACGGAATTAATAATAAAGAAGTTTTCTTAGTTAAATCTTTTAGTAAATATACGGGTTTATATAAGTAATTACGATGAGTTCTGCTAGGGGGGCTATGTCAGTTGGCTAGGGGGGCTGTGTCCCATTTTTCTAACTAATAAAATGATCGCGATTTTCTCGGCTAACTATAGTAAGTAACTAATTCTAGTCTTTTATTATTAGCTTTATTTAAACCCGGCTTATATAAATAAATATAATTTAAAAACTATTTTTATTTTTATTATAATAATTAAAAGATTTCAATAAATCTCGATTTTATGAATTTCTATTAATATTTATTAATTCCTTCTTAATTATATTAAGTTATAGTAAAGCTATATTTATATATATAAGTTTATTAATACGTTTAAAACCATTTTAATCGTTGTAATTAATATAAATACGGTAAGTTAAATAAATTATACTTTTTTTAATTATATAGGAATAATTAAATTAATTAATAAACTTTTCATTAAAAAAATATTATAACTTTACTTTTAATAGATAATAACGGCAATATCAAAATATATGCATTAACATAAAATAAAAATAAAAATAAAAATAAATAATTAGTAGTAATAGAAATTAGTTAGAATAATACCTGGCCTCTTATTGGTCGAATTAGTTTAGTAAAAGTGGGACACAGCCCCCCTAGCAGAACTCATTACGATATATATTACAGTATTAAAGTCCTTAAATATAAGCTATATAGCCCCTCGGCGGAGGCATCCGCTAGGGTACGAATATATATAATATATTATATAACGGGAAAACTAAGTATATTGCACTATATACCTAATTACTAATCCTATTAGTAGCTAGCCGAACTCTCATTATTATCCCCTTTTATTAACTTCCGCCCGACCTTCCGCCATATAACCCTATACCTAAATAGCTAACTTTACCTATTTTAATATATAAAAACCTCCTAATACTAGCCTGTATAAATAGCTAGATCTAGTATAATAACTTCTTACGACCGTCAGTAATTATAACTGTAAGTAATTACTATATATGGCTACCTTATATAAGTACGGTACTATATAGAAAATAGGTATGCTAAGTAACCTATAAGTAAATCTAATAAGGTTAAAAAATTTAAATTTAGGGCGGCAGGTATTCATTAGTCGAGAAATTAGGTTATAATCTAAATAGTCAAATAGTATTACCTGGATAACAAAACTTATAATATAGCTAGAAATAGAATAAATAAAGAATATAAGTATATTATTATAAAGAACGAAGGTATCGATTAATCAAGTAATATTACGGGTAACTTAAATATAAGTTGAAATAAGAATATTTTTAATAAGCTCGGTTTAGTAAACGGGCGCTACTTAGTAAAAAACAAATATAATTAATAAAATAAAAGGTTATTAAAATATCGGTAACGGGGCTAGAAACTATAAAGGCCTCCTATATAATTTGATTATTAGTTTTAAATCATAGCTTATTTCTATAATAACGGCGATACTTTTATAAGCTACCCTTATTAAACCTACTTCCTTTTACCTTTTTTTTTAAAGGAAAAAGAACTTAAAGTTAAAATAAATAATTATTAATTAATTAGTAAGCCGTTATAGAGGGAAGATATGGGAGAATAAGAAAGTAATTAATAAGTAAACTAAAAATACTAATGGGGAAAATACTTAGTAATTTAATAGCAGGGCTATTTAGTAGATTAAAGGGACTATTATTGAAAGCTTGAATAATGAATTAGTATTTATACTTTAACTTACTTTAAGAGCTATGAATATTAAACTTATATTAAATATAATTAAGGAATTGTAAATAATAAAAGATTTAGAGAAAAAAGAATCTTTAATAAATAGTTAAATATTAATAAGTAAATCGTGAATATCTTTTAAAATAATAAATAACTGATTAATAATAGTACTATTAAAAAGTACTTATAAGGGGCTATAGAAAAATAATAAAGTAAGTTTTATACTTTAATCGGTAAGAAGACTTTAAAGAAGAAAAATAAGATAGCGATATTTTATAGAATATTTATTATTATTATTATTATTATTATTATTATTATTATTATTATTATTATTATTATTATTATTATTATTATTATTATTAATATTTTGAATATTCAGAAATATTATTGCCCTCGTTTTAAAATGTAATAACCGATTGTATAATAATAGAGTTTTTAATAACTAACTTATTTATAATCAGTTTATTATTCTTAAAGTCCTAGGTTATGAAGCCCTTAACGGCGCTATCTTTTTTATTTAATATAGTAAAACTACCCTCCTTTTTATTCTGAATATTAAAGTTAATTAAGGCCTTAAGGGTCTATTTAATAAAGGTTAATAATAAAACTTATTCATTAATAAATATAGAGCTAATAAGGCCGATTATGTATTAAAAATAAAGATTATTAAAATATTTAATAACGTTAACGTACCTATATAGTAAGCGGCGTGTTATAGCGAGCGATATACGTCCTCCTAATTTTATTTATTTTATTATTAAGATACCTTTTTTTAATATACGAATATATAATCGTCTTTAAATAAAAGCCGAATTATCCTTATTTTTTAAATTATTGAAAAAAAACCTAAAAATATCTATATAAAAAGCTACCTTTACCTTTGAAACTCTTAAATTAAACTTTTGCTATGAACATATTAAACGTATTATATAAGGCAAAAAACGAGTAAATTTAATAAAAAAGATGATAATATAAAAAAGAATTCTAAAATAAATTATTAACTTACTTAGTTAAGGGCCCCCGCTAATATAAAAAGAAATATAAAAAATAGCCAATTAAGTTTTAAATATATATGATAAAATATATACTAGACCGTAATAAATAATTAATTTTATATAATGTATTTTTAAACTAGAAGTATAATTTTAATATTGAATTAATTATTAAAGGGCTTTAATTAAGGATTTTGTTATTATGAAAGGCTAATTCGTACTTATATAAAATATAATTATAAAATATAAAATATAGAATAACGATATTTATAATTTAAATAAGAGTAGCTTTTTGAATAAGAATATTATTATATATAAAGATTATTATAACTTTTAATTATAAAAAAAGGCCTTATATAAAATAGCTTAGTAATTAAAAATGGATTTTTACTATTTCAAACATATATATAAATAGCTAGATATTATTTACATATAACGTACTTTACTAGTTAGCCGCGCATGTTGATTAGCCGCACACTTTTTCTAACCTTTCAAATATCTTATAAATTTATATAACTATAATATAAAAAATTAATTAGCTCTTATTAATATCTAAATTACTAAATAATTTTATATTTTTAGAATATATTTATATATTATAGCCTATTTTATTATATATACCGTAATATTATTAAGCCGAACGACCTTTTTCCAATAGACCCCCTTTTTTATTTCCTTAAAATACTAGATATTTCCCCTTTTTTTTAAAAAAAATAACTTAAAATTTCTTTATATTAAATATTCTTTTAAATTAAATATAAAAAAATTTTGCTCTCCGGTACTTAATAAGCGTTAACTTAATATCCTAAAATATACGTATTTAATCCGTTAAAATCATAATTAAATATACTATTATTTATATAACTTTTATTAACCGGTCGACCGCTTTAATTATTAATATTAAAGAGCTTTCTTAATAAACTAAGATCCGATTTTTAATAAATTTAGATTATAAAAGCGCTTTATAGTAGTCAAAGGGCATTTACGATTATTAAATTAATAATATTAAAAGATCGGTTATAAAAAATATAAATATCTATATATATATATATTAAGCTTTTTAATTATATAATTTAGGTCCTAGGGTAAAATACTAGCTTTATAGAAGGCGGATTTAATAGTTTTATTTATAAAGATCTTATTATAGGCCTTAGAGAAGGTAATAAAGAACTCGGATTTTATAATATAGTTAACGGAATATTTAATAAATAAGTTAATTTTATCCCTATATATATGATTTAAAAGTAAATAAAGCGTAATATTTAATAGCTAAAATAAGTAAGATAAATATAGAGGTATATTAATAATTATAATATCATTTTATTTATAATATTCGTTAAATTTAACTAATAAATAGCTTTTATATTTATTAATTATAAATATCTAATAAACATATTTTATATAAGCCCGAATATATTTATTAAAATACTTAATCTAGTCTAAGCTAGTTTTATTTTCGGTCTATTTATTAATAATCGGTTTAATTACTTAGTCGCCTAAAAAGCCTAATTTTATTAATTAATTAATAAAGTAATAAGATCCTTAAACGATTATAAAAAATAGGATATATTACCCTTTTAAATTAATATATTTAATAATTATAGCTTATTTACGGTTACTAGGCTAGACGGATTTTATTTTTCTATATTTATTAAGATATATAACGATTATTAAACCGGTAATAATACCTATTATAAAGCTAATCTTATTAAAGTTATATAGATCTTTATTATTAATACCGTATTTAATTATTATATTACTTAATAATATAAACTACTTTATAATGACTTTTAGGTCCTTCTAAAGTACCCTTTAATAATTATATAAATAATTAAATTTAGTTTTAATGTCGGTTATAAATTAATAAACCTCTAAGCTTAATATTTTTTAAAGGGTATCTTATTTTATATCTATAATAAAAGATTCGCTATATTTTTTATATTAATAAATCGTAAAAGAAACCTTTTTAAATCTAATTTAATAATAAATTAAAAAGTAAATTCTTTTTAATTAAATCGAATTTATATCGTTAAGGCTAAATATAATTATAATATAATCAATTATTTATTTTATTATATAAAGTATTTTCTAGAGATATTATTTATCTTTATAGTACTTTACTTACTTAATTTATAATTTATAATATATATTAATTAGATCGCCTTAATAATAAGAATAATCTTTTCTTTTTAAATATAAATTAGCATTACGGTTATTAAAATATTATATGTTAAAGGTTTAAATAGCTAAAAATAAAGCGTATTATAGAAAAAGTATGTGGCTGACTGATATGCGCGGCTAACTAGTAAAGTACGTTATATTATTATTAAAGGTAAATATTATCTTTTTTAATATATTAATATTTAACTTTTAATAATATAGTATATCTATTTAGATAAATAAAAATAAATAATTAATAATAGTTTAAATTAATTAAAGTATTTTAATCAATACATAAGGACTTATATAAGAGGCTCTAATTACCTTTTAATATTTAACCACTATAATAACTATTAATCGACTAACTTTAATAAATACTATAAAGAATAAAATATTACGATTTTTTACATACCTCCTTATTTATTATATTACTTTTAGCTTTTTAACATTATATATTTTAGCCCGTTAAAGTACTTAGATAACAAAAAAAATAAAAAAAAACAATGTATATATAGATTTTATATATTATAAAACATAACTTTTTCCCTACTTTCAAAATGATATTCTTTATTTAAATAAGTAAAAATAATATATAAGCTAGTTCTAAGTAAATAAGCTATATACTTTTTAACTTTAAAATAATTATTTTTATTTAAACTTTAAAGTAAAAATCATAGTATTATTAAATTCAAAGTTAAATAGCTGAGGCTTTTAGAACCTAAAGATACTAACTATAATAATAAAAAGCATATAAAATACTACCTTTTTAAATAGAAATTAGATATATTTAAATACATTATTTATATTAATATACAATATAACTATTTTTAAGCTAAAGTTATTGAAAAATTAGCCTATAAATTTATTATCATTAAAATAAAGGACCGTAAACTTTATATAAACATAAAAATATTTAATAATATTGAAGAGTAAAAAAGACCTAGTTATACTTTGAAAGGTTATTAAATAATATTAGAATAGAGGTATTAGAAATTAAAAATGTAGTATTAATATTTAAAAAAAGAACAATCTTGTTTAAAAGGGGTTATATAAAAGATATTAAATTATATATAGTTATAATAATATCATAGTTATAGAAAACCTAAATATAATATATAAACCTATGAAGGAGTTTAAAATAGTAATAAAGAAGAGGGTAATATATCGTTTTAATTAATCTTATATATTATAGTTAAGTTAATTTATTAAAAAAAAAGTTAAAAGGTTATAAAAAGTACGTTATTTATTATAATACATTACTCGCTATTATAAAGGGGCAGGTGGTATACTGCGCTCTTGCTAATTAACCTAAAAGATCAGTCACTTCTAGTACTATATACTAAACGTATACCATATATATACTTAAGTAAGCTCCTCGGCTAGGGGCTTCGTACCTACCTACTAGTACCTTTATAATTACCCTCCTTCCTTAAGTGATATATTCCGAGTTGCGATTTACTATACATACTCGGCGCCCGGCGCCCGCTTATTTAGAAGGAAGGTATATATATTAATCTTAAAGGTAGGTACCTAGCTTTTATATAATTACCAAGTTACTGGCTAATTTATAGTCTATATATCTTTTTTAAGCTTAATATAAGTTAATAAATATATATAAATATTAGTATTACGGGTAGGACTCGAACCCGGCCTCTGCCCGCCTAGCGCCCGCCTCTTAATAGCTAGAAAACCTATATAGTACTAGAAGTATTATAAAAGGATAGGTAATATATTACGCTCTTATTAATTAACTTAAAAGATTAGTTATTTCTAGTACTATATACCAGACGTATACTATATATACGCTTAAGTAAGCTCCTCGGCTAGGGGCTTTGTGCCTACCTACCGGCACGATTATAACTATATAAGTATATTATATAGGGAATTAATATACCGGCGTCGCCCTTATACCGGCGTCGCTATTCAGCTTTCTAAATAGCCTAAAAAAATATTGTTAATATAATTAAATTTTACTAAATATTTATGAAATATCATTGCCTTTTTCGTTCTTTTACTCTCTTTACTTTAAGGTTATATTATTAAGCTTTAAAGTTCAATTTATATTATTTATTAATAATAACTTGTATAATTGAATAAAAGAATATTTTATAGGGCTAATTTTGAAGTAATATTACTATTACTAAACCTCCTTTTTTATAAAAATGATTATCAATTAATTACGGCTTTTTATTATTATCTAGTTAACTATTATTATTATTTTTTTAAGAATAATTACCGTAATATTAGTTAATTATATAGAGCTAATAATCTTTAAGGGCAGTAAGACCTTATTATTAAGCTCCTAACTAACTTCTTATAAAATATATAACCTCTTATAATTAATTATTTTAATATATAACTAATATTATATTTTACTTATTATTTCTTTAAAATAATAATAAAACCTTAATAGACTATTTTCTTATAACTTTTTCTAAAATATAGCCCCTTTCTTTTCAATAAATAATCCTAATAGCTTTTTTGTCTTATAAAAAAGTAATTTAATATTATTTTTTAATTTATTATATAGGTTATTAAGACTAATTAATAATTAATTACGGCGCTCCTTATTACGACCCAATACATATAGCGAAGCCAGGGTCCTACCCAATAGGACCGCGGCGGCTATTATACTATATATATATATAAATACAGACTTAAAATAACTCCCCTTAAAATAAAAAAACTATAAATAAGTTATATAACTATAATTATATAATAAAATAAAAAATAAACGTTTATAAATAAGCAGAACGGACGTTTATAAATAAATAAAATAAATATTTATAAACGAATAGGACGAACAACCGTTTAATAAATAATTAAATAATTTTAAATAATATAAAATAAAAAATATATTTAAGATTAAGATTTATATATAATATGAATTTAAGCTAGATTTAAAAATAAATTTTCTATAACTTCTTTAACTATAAACTTTATATTAAATCTTATAATTACTTTTAACTATTTTTATTAAGATCCCCCTTAATAAAATTACTATTAATTACTAAAGTTTAACCTTATAACTTATAAAATATAATTTCCCTAAAGTTATTTAATAACCTTATTTACTATTATTTAATCCTTACGGCCTAAACTTTTATAAACTTACTTTATTACGACTAGCTAGCCGTAACACTCCTTTAATAATAAAAATATATTAATTAATAATAAAAGTTATAAGGTCCCTAAATTAATTTATTACCTTATTTACCCCTATTATAATCCTTTTTTTTAAAAAATAAAAAAATAAAGCGTTCTTTTAAATAATAGCCTTTTATTATATTTAAAATAATCGACGCTTATTTTTTCTTATAACTAAAATCCTTAATCTACTAATTTTTAATAATTTAAAATAAACTTCTAATATTCTCTTTGACCGAGTTAATATTTTTATTAAAGTTAATAAATTTAGTATCATAAAGCGGAATAAGTATAAAACTCGAGGTAAAATTATTCAATATACTTTCTAATATAATCGGTTTAATAAACATAAGCTTATATAAAATATTAATATTTAATAATATAAGTTTTATAATTATAGCTATAAATAATAAGTTATTACTAAGGCTTATAAGGAAGGTAAATAGCTCTTATATTACTATATAGACCTTTAATATAATTAATATAATTATAGCCCTAGCCTTAAAGCCTCTATATACCCTTTATATTATAGGCTTATTTAAGTAGTTTAAAATATTATTAAAATTATAAGCTAATAAGTTAGGATTTAAGCTTACGATATATATATATATATATTATTTTGAAAAGAATTCCTAAAGTCCTTATTTACCTAATAAGATATCTATAATATTAAGGTTTATATAAATTAAGAAACATTAATCAAATATCTATGAATTATAATATTAATTAAGCTATTTAATAAATAAAATATCCTATAGTTATGTAATAAAGTAAATAAATAACGAACTATACCGTTTTATCGGCCTTATCTAGACCTTTTCTTATTATTTTTAAATATAAAAGCGATTCTTTAAGGTAATTAGTTTTAATAATATTTATAATACTAACCACTTTAAACTCCTTTTTTTCTAAGTTATTCAATAAACGTACCTTAGATCTATTTATAATACTACGTTTAGCTATTTTAATAATAAAAAACTAAAAGGTTTTTAATTTTCTTTAATAAATATCCGTTAATTAATAAATTAATATATAGTTTATTTTTAATTGTTATTATTATAAATTATAATAAATAAATAAAGGCTACACTAAATAAATAGTTCCTAAATATTTAATCATAATTTTATATCTACTATATTAATCTTAACGTTATATTTAAGGCTAAATAGAAATAAATTAAGGACCATAGTTATAGTAGTAATAATAATAAATCTAATAATAAAGGATATTAGCTATTAATATAAGTAATAACTATATTAAACAAGAAAGATAAGGCCTATACTAGTATATTTATTAATAAGCGCTCTTTTTATATATATTATAAGGTCTTTATAATATAAAAACTTATTATTTTATTAAAATTAAGTAAGCTTTTAAAAAAGCCTAGATTAAGCTTTATAAAGAGTTTAATAATTAATACCTAATCCTTTAATATCTTTATATAATACACTTACCTTTAAAAACAT